GTAATAGTAAAATCAATAAACTTGATAACTTTGAACCTTCACAAAAATTTTTTTTACTAATATAAATGAAAAAAACTTCATATTTTTGATTTCTTTATATTTACCATTAACATGTTCTATTGAAGCCTCACGAATGTTTACAAGATTCCCACATAGCGGATACACCCAAAATTCATGACCTATTATATCAAATCCACATAGAGCAAACCAGGTTGGCAAATGTGTAGTCCATTGATGGTCTATTAGTGGTCCATTGGGTCCATTAGTGTAACACTTTGACCATATTTAATATTTTATTAATTGCAATGGACCAGTCCAAAATCCATATGTTCTCAATGGACTAGTCAATTTGCCAACCCTGGAGCAAACTGCTTAGCTAAATCTCCTTCTGTCAGTGCCAATGTATAATTTTTTCCGTGTTTAGTTCCAGTTTTTAAAGCATCATCAAGTTTAGGAACATTAATAATGGTTGGATTGGTAAGTAGAAGTAGTAACTATACTGGGAGGGGTTCTTGTAGTTTCTCAACATGTTTTAACTAGAGTATATAGTGAAATCAAAAATCATAAACCTAATTTTTTCTTATCATGTAATGAAATTTTAGATATTATATAATTATAGAGAATTGTTGTTCGCACTTCCCATTTTTGTTATTCGTGGCTAAGACAAAGATGAACCAATAAAATCGTCACATTTTAAAGTCATTCATTGGTCACATTAATACACTTAGTCATGGGAAGGGTGCGAATAACAATTCCCTAATTATATTTACTAATAATCATTGATAATCAGTGTTGGAAATTCAATCAGGGCGTATCACGTTACACCAAATTTACATGTGCTCGAAAATATTTCAGTACTATAAAAACAATAACAGAGAATGAATTTATTCAATTATGGCAACATATTTTGGATACTGATGGTTACTTTTCTTTTAATTATCCAACTATAGTAATAGTTCTTCAAATAGCACTTCTTATACCTCTTTCTAATGCTCATGTAGAAAGAATATTTTCTCAAATGAAATTAATTAAAAACAATTTGAGAAATAAAATGCATCTAAATACATTAGATAATCATTAATGGTTTTATTAAATAATCCAGAAATTGAACATTTCAATTTTTAAAAGCATATGAAAATTGGGAGAGCAAAAAATAAGGAAAAATATTTAATTTAATTTTTTATTTTGTAAATTATTCTTCTTAATAAAAAAATAGACATGCACACAGCTTGTGTAACGTGATACGCCCGATTGATTTTCAACACTGTTGAAAACTTAACTCCTTAATGTTAATTGATAAGCGTTTAGACAAAAAGTGAGCTATCACTAATTTCTAATATTAATATTAATAAAATTATATATATGGTGTAATTATTTGAAATAACCAATAAAAAACTTTTTTTTAAAAATAAGCCAATTGATTGCTACATAATTAGATATGGGGCATGCTGCAACAAAACCAGACAAAGTGAACATTGGTATTACCAAGGGTTTCAGGGATCAAAATTTAGTCATTTGTAATTATAATATCCCATTTGTTATCTTAAGTGATATATTCATATAAAAATAATAATATTAATAAGATTTTAAAAATAAATTTTAAATACCATTATAAATGCAATGGTAGTGTGATGATGGCAATGGTGACAAATAATGTGTTATTGTTGCTGATTATGATGATGCTCATGATGTGATTCAATGTTTCTTAGCCTCATTAACCTGCTGTGTCAAAAAAAAAACCAATGATTGAGAAATGAAGTTAACAAGAAAAAGAAGAACAGTGATGATAAATGAAGTGAAAAAGACACTAATGTTAATAATAATGATATTTCATGGATACTCCCATGAAATAACTATTACTTATACTTTAACCACCACACATGTACCAAGTTTTTTAATGTAATTTATGATATTGAAAAATAATCTTGCTTCAAAATTGATCATTTTGAATGGAATAATCATTGAAAATGTAGATAAAATAATTTTATTTGTATATATTATTATGTAAAATGATAATGATCAAACAATACATTTAATCTCAACTAATTATTAATCTTTATTTTGACTGTTGTGCTTATTATATGCCATTTCTTGGTGACCTATTTTCAGCAATCCATGGTTCTTTACTTGAATCATTAAATTTTTCTTCTCTAACTATCTCAATGCAGCATTTATAAATATCAACTGTTTCTTTAAGGATATTCTATTTATGTCAAATTAAAGTAAATTAGATAAATAAATACAAATGAGAATCAATTTTCTGTACTTACATGTGTCACCGGAATGCGAATTGGACCTTAATTTGCTGATCAATAACCCTGAAAATTCGGAGTGATATTTTATATTTTATTCTTATTTTATTTGTATCATTTATTTATTTATTTATTATTTTTAGTTATTCATT